TGGCAGGGAGGTTGCAGCCTGGTCTCCATGGCAACAGCTTGCTGCTTGCCTTCCTCTGCAGGCGGCCCGCCCCCCCCACCCCCAGGCTTCAGTTGGCCCAGAGCCCCTACCCAAGGCTGTGGCAGGACGGAGGGGAGCATGTTCCCCCTATACCTTATTAGGACCCTTGTCTCTCCCCTTCGCGTCCTCCCCTCCCCACTTTCTGCCAACGGAGCGTGTCTAAGGACTCACCCCCGTCTCTCACTGCCCCGGCGGCTGCCCCAGGACCCCACGCTGCAGGGAGCCCTCTCCTCTACGCAGGGTACCGGGCTCAGCTCTCGAACGCGCCCTGCTCTCTCCTGTCTCTGCACCTCTGTCCCCTCTGCCTGGAATGCCCTCGGCACTCAGGGCCCTTCCACCCTGGGCCAGGACTCAGGTGCCTCCCGGGACCAAGCTGGTGACACACCCAGAGAAGTGACCGGACTATACATTGATAAAGGAGGCTGGCTGGGCCTCGGCGTTGGGTGACAGTGGGGAGTGTGGGGTCTGGGGTCAACTGGAGAGTCCACACCCCTCCTTGAAGGCTGTCACTGCTGATGGTGGGAGTGTGGCTTGAGGTAGTCACAGCCTCCAGCTCTCCAAGTGCAGCCAAAAATTCAGACCTTTGGACAGAAGTTCTAATTTAAAAATGTCGACTCAAACAAACACGGGTTTCTATGGACCAAGCTAAGCACCTTGCAGTTGCACTTGGCAGCTGCTGGCATGCCCTGGATGTGGCCCTGGAGTTCCTCTTGCCTGGCATTTACAGGGCAGCGCCACCAGGAACTACCCCTCCACCTACCTCCCCTGCCCCGTGCCCTCCCACGACCCGGGCCCCCCGTCCATCTCCGTGGCTGTCCCCAGAGCCTGTGGAGGGAAAGTTTGGGGGAGCAGGTGGGAGGGCAGCTCTGGGAACGGAATGCTGCACTGTACCCGCCAGGCCTCCGAGTGTCCCTTTACCCCCTGCCTCGTTTAACTCCCAGCCCCGTGTGAGGAGGGACCATCGGTCTTCCCACTTTCAGAGGAGCGAATGGCTCTGTGGAGGGAAGTGTTTTGCCGGAAGTGCCTGGACTTTAAGTCAGACCCCTGGGGTTTGAACCGAGGTCAGTTCCATTCCCAAGGCAGACTTAGCGACGCATCATTCTGGCGGGGATTAAAAGGATTCTAGCCGGGCGAGGGTGTTGAGGCTGAACGTGCTGGGGATTAGGGCAGCAGCGTGGGCGTCCGTGGAGCCTAAAGCCTTCTCTGTGGTCTCTTTGCATGTCCTGGCAGAGCGGGACGCCTTTGACACGCTCTTCGACCACGCCCCGGATAAGCTCAGCGTGGTGAAGAAGGTAAGCTCTTGGCTCCCCGTGTTCACGCTAGAGCTTTTTTTCTTGACGGCATGAATGCCTGCTGGGGAGAAGGTGGGAAAATGTTTGGAATCTTTGAAATGTTTGCCACGTGGATTGAAATGTAATTACAGTCAGAACCATAACGACAGTGCATAAAATTAGCGCCTTTTAACTCGACATCCCTGCTGCCTGGGCATCTTCCTGCCCACCGCTCACTTCTGTTAAGTGAATTACCCAGCCCCAAGTGGCAGTTCATTCTGACTCGAGGCCTTTTGTCAACGTGGAAATGTTTTTAAGCGTCAACATGCTGCCCTCACCGGCCTTTGCACTCAGTCTGCCCAGGAAGCAAGTTGGCCTGGCCTGGCAGGGCCGTTCCCTGCGTGGGCTTGACCGTCTTCCTGCAGACGGGACGAGGCCTTCCCGGCCCGGGCAGCCTGCTGGTCAGTCCATGGTGGGCTAAAAACACATGAGCCCGAGGCCCTAGAGCCTGGAGGCTGGGAACGGTCAGCGTCTGGGGAGTCTGCCAGTAAGGCTTGTTTTCCTAGAAGAATCGAGGCCCACCTCCCGGCACATGCAGGCATCTGGGAGCCCGCAGGCATCTTGTCCGGAGAGGCAGCAGTGGGGCGGGCGGGCTTCCTCCCTCCTGTGACACCGCTTCTGCCTGACCAGAGGGAGGGAGCTCTGTAGGACGGCCTCCCTGAACAGGCTTCTTTGTGCAGGATTGTCAGAGCCTTTCCTGTGCTGACCTGCCTGCCGTTCTTGAAGAGGGAGCTTGGTAGGAAGTGGCAGTACCTTACTGTTCGCTTGGGGACAGCACATGTACCTCCCTGAGGACCGCACAGTGGGCCGCCGTGGTCCAGGCTCGGAGTACCAGGTCATTGGTTTTGGAAGCACTTTGCAAAAGGCCGTTGGAACCCTCCTACTGGCCGTTCTGGGCCGAGCCCGCTCAGTGCCCTTGGGTCCCACATGATGTACCTCAGAGCCTCGGAGCAGTGTCCCCCACCCACCCTGGCCACATCTGGCCCAGGGCCTGACAGGACCAGTTCAGTGGGTGTACAGGGGAGGAGGGTGCTACTCTGACCTCCCCACTTCTAGCAGGTGCACAGGCAGTTACACAACCCTGGAGCCTCGGTCCTCATCTGCGAAGCAAGGACAGGCATTGCCCTCCTTTCAGGGACGCTGTGAGGACAGTCGGGGTCCCGTTTGTGCAGGACGGGTCCCAGCGCTCAGATGCCAGGTTAACCCATGTTTCAAAGCTTACGCGGGGCACTGGGCCACAGCAGTGAGCAGGCGGCGTCCTCGTGTCTGCCGACAGCGTCCCGCTTCAGCCGCCCCTCGCCCTCCCTGTGGTTTCCATGCTAGCAGCTCCCTGTGACCCCGAGTGCGGACGGGGGCCCTGCTCACCCTCCCGGGCTTCTTCCTGAATAGCCCCCTCTGCAGGCTCACATCCAGCCATGGAGCTCCACCCACTGCCCACCCAGTGCCGGCTCGAATGCGCCCTCCCGCGGCGTCTCTGCATGCACCTCCTGTGTTCACGGAACCTTCCTACACTGCATGCTTCCTGCAGCGCCACTGCTGACCCCGCCCCTAGGTGTACATGGAGAACTAGGCCACCCCCCGACTGTCCTCAGGTCCCCAGCCCCAAGGAGAGTGCTGGCTCATCGTGGCTGCTTGGAATTTGGGTGGGATGAATGAGCAATGATAGCACATCTGGGGAACGGGCTGGTATGGAGCCCCCATGTAAGTGGGGTTTGATGCCGGACGTTCCCGGTGACGAGTTTTAAACTTTTGCCGGAGAGAAGCCAGTGCCCCTAGTACCTATGTAACGGGACGCGTGAACCCCGCAGCCCCAGATAAAGCCCTGCGTGGCCCTCCACATTGCCAGGAACCAACAGGCATGCCCTGGGCTATCTTCCCTCTCCGTGCCGAGCTATGGCCATTGGCGTGAGGTCTACAGAGGTCGAAACACGCGGCTCTCCGCCCTGACAATGCCTCCCAGAGGACGGTGAAACACAGCGCGAGGGTGTGGACGGCCTCGGGAGGAGACTTGCTTTCTTCTCCAGCTGGGATGGACACAGCCTTACCCACCACCACGGAGAGCTGTCGAGAGCACGTGTTCGAGACAGGCTCTTTGCTGTAGCAGACGGGGTTGTGGGAGCGCTCTGCAGGACCCGAGCTGGTGAAGGTGGGCACGCCCGCGGGTGGGGGCCGGTGCTCACTGATGGCCCTGTCCTTGCCTTGACAGTCTCTCATCACGTTCGTGAACAAGCACCTGAACAAGCTGAACCTGGAGGTGACGGAGCTGGAGACCCAGGTACGCAGTGCTGTCCTGCATCACCGTCAGCCGGTTTCTGACCCCTGGTAGGGCTCAGGAGCAACGCCATTTTGCTTATTTCCCGAGGAATTCTGCCACTCAGCCAGGAATGGCGTTCTGGCCCCTCCGCCTGGCCGTCTGTCTCGGCTTCCCTGGGCTGCCATAACAGAGCCGCAAGCCGAGTGGCTTATTCAGAAGCTCGCGCCCTCTGATCTGGGGTGTGGGCGAGGCTGGTTCTCCCCGTCCCCGGCCTTTCTCTGAGTTTCTGGGGTTTCTCTTTGGGGCGCTGTGGCTTGTAGACAGGAGACTCCACCCTCTGCCTCCGTCTTCCTGCGGCGTTCTCCTAGGGCACGTTTCTGTGTCCACATTCTCCCTTCTGAGAAGGACGCAGTCGCGTCAGGTTAACGCCCACCCGATGAGGTCATTGGCATGATGGGGTTACAGTCACAGGCCCTGGGGTTTGGACTCTAACATGTATTTTTGAAAATATTTTTAAAAGTTTATTCCTTGAGCAAGAGAGACAGAGACAGAGATACAGCACCCCAACAGGGTCTCGACGTTGTCATTCACCCCGGCCAGCCCCGGATGGTGGGCACACGTGTGCCCAGTGCTCTGGGGAGTCTCCTTATGTGAACCCAGGACCTTCCCTGTGAGTCAGCCTGGTGCTCATTCCATACTGCGGCATATTTTGGGGGGGGGCACATGATTCAACCATAACACCCTCCAAGGCTGTGTCTGCCCACCCTGCCACAGGGCTTTGCATGTGTGGGTCCCATGGTCTAGAAAGTTCTGCTCCTCCGCACCCGCTCCCCATCGCCACCCCCCACAGATGCCCAGCCAGTGCATCACCCTCTGGCCGGTGCACACGAGCTGTTTGTTCCGCAGTGCACGTGAGGAACACCCCGCCCCACTCAGCTAACATAGCACCGTGCAAAGGTGTCTCCAGCACTCGGGAACGTTAAAGACAACATATAATCCCCCCGGATTAGCCGCATGCTCGATTCTGGGGTCCTTTTGACTCCGTGGCCCAGACGTCTCTAATACGCAGCTGATCCTTCTTAACCCTGGGTGACTGCTTTTATTCGCTTCTGTTTCTTTAACTTTTCTCATTTGCTTTTCTAATTAAAAAAGTAATTCAGGTTCATTGTAGAAATGTCTGAAAATGCAGATAAGCAAAACAAATAAAAACCGTCCGTAACCTCATCCCCCAGAGATAACTGCCTGAGGGTTTTGCTCAGATCTCTACATGTGTAGCTGGTCGTGGGCGGCGTGGGTCTGCACTCCAAGTCCATGTTGAACGTGTGCGTTCATTTGCGCGTTGTTTGCAAACACACTTGTTCTGTTTGGCAATCTCCTAGCCTCGCACCGTTGGTCTCTGTGTGCTTGCCATTTGCCACAGCAGCTCAGAAGGGCACTGAGTGAAAGAGAAACCCCCTTCCTATAATCTGCCCCCTTCCAGTCCTCCGGAGGTGGCCGATGTCAGCTGAGGGTTGGATGAATATTTTTCTAGATTATTTTAAAAGATTTTTTTAAAAAGTTGATTTCTTTTTGGACCAGCAGTTGGTGTAATGGCTACATCACTGGACTCCCATGTAGTCAACTGCAGTTCGAGTCCCGGACCCAGTGGTTTAAACTCATGCCGGGCTCGTGTGTGTGCGTGCCCAAGATCCCAAGAGGGGAATGGAGGAGAAGGGATTGCGGTGTGGCCATCTCCCCCAGGGGGTGATTTCTCACTTTCTGTCTCTCTGCCTCTCTCTGTCTTTCTGGCAAGTGCATGTGCAATATAGCAAAAACCTCTTTAAAAAAAAAAGTTTATTTCTTTTGTGTGAGAGCGAGACAGAGACAGGGAGAAAGACAAGCACTCTCAAAGGTCTCATGCCGCCCTCCAGCTCCTCCAGTCTTCCCAGCCAGCGAGGGCCACGCACACGCACACGCACACCCGGCGAGTACGGGGCAGCTGCGGAAGCAGCCTGCATCCTCCACGTGGATTCAGCCGAGAGGGAGCGAGAGAGCGAGAGCGGGCACCGTGCAGCCAGCTGCCCTGTGCGGGAGCCGTAGCCACCAGCCAGCTGCTGTCAGGCCTGGGTCTCTGTGTGTGAGAGACGGGTGTGTGCTTCTTCCTGCCGCCGTCTCTGGCTCGGGCTGGGTCCCTCTGTGACTTGTCACTCCCACTGTTCTCTCAGCGGGAAGGCTGCCCTGTGGTTCCTTAAACCTGGGCTCCCTGACTGGACGTTCCCCGTGCTCAGGACAGCGGGCTCCGGGCCGCTCCTCCTGCCTGTTTCCCTGGGATAAACCGGAAGTGGGGCCGTCAGCACGAGCAGCCCACACCTGCAGCCCGGAAGGGTTGCCGTTAGATGCCACCCGCCTCGGCCCCCCGGCCCTTCTTGGATGGGCCGTACTCTGTTGGGGCCAGGCCCCCGAGACCGGCACTCCACACTTACAGTTGCATTGACCCTTATGTAATGCCGCTGTCGCTGTCACACACTGCTCGAAGGAGAATGTGGAAGGTATTCGTAACCCCTGGCTGACCAGGAAAGACCACTGGCCACAGGAATGCAGGGAAGTTCTTTTCTTATGTTGCAAAGAATGAGTATTTTTATAAGTATGTTATGAGAGTGGAGAGGCCCAGGTTCAGTTCCTGTTAGGGGGTATGTGTGGTGGGGTGTGTGTGTGTGTGTGTGTGTGCGTGTGGTGTTTGTGTGTGGTATTCACACGTGTGTATTATACTGTGTGCTATGTGTTTTTGTGTGTGGTATGCACACGTGTGACGTGTGTGGTGGTGTGTGTGGTTTGTGTGTGAGGCTTGTGAGTATATGTCGTTTGTGTAGCATGTGTGTCCGTGTGGCATGTGTGTCTGTGTGGCATGTGTGTCTCCTTTAAGCTTATTCTTTCATGAGATAAAGAGAGTGTGCAAGGGCACGTGCCCTCTGTAGGGTCTCGCACAGTGATCGCCCCCCAGCTCCCCGGCCAGCCAGGCTCACATGTGTACCTGGCGTGTGCAGGTTGACCCGGGAATCGAACCTGCAGCACTGTGGAGCAGGCACTGCCACTGTGCCCCGTGGCTGGCCTGCCCTCCTGCAAAGCCTGTTCCGCGCTCAGCTCCCTTCCCGCGGCCGGAGCGCATCTGTGCCTCAGCTTCCACTCGTCTCTCACGGTGGAGACGCTGTCGCCGTGAGGGTCGGCTGAGAGAGATCGATGGAGTCAGGGAGCGCGGGCTTGGCAGGGTGGGCCCTGATGGGGGCGGGTGAAGGGAGCCCTCCCGGGGCGCGGCAGCCCTTGGAGCGTGCTTCTGGGGAACGCCGAGCACTTGAGCGGCGTGGTCAGCCCTGGGCTCTGTCGGAGGCGCCGTTCAGACAGCCTGCTGGTCTCCCTAACGAGGACAGTGGGTGGCTTCTTCGTGTGTGGAGGCCCGAGGCACCCAGGGTGCCAGCCCAGCCCCGTTGCCACCTGCCGACACCACGCGGAATCGGTGGTTACGGCAGGCGGGGGCCGGGCGTTTCCATGCAGTTTGCAGACGGCGTGTACCTGGTGCTGCTCATGGGCCTCCTGGAGGACTACTTCGTCCCTCTCCACCACTTCCACCTGACGCCGGACAGCTTCGAGCAGAAGGTACGTGCATGGTCTCCGTCCTCGGAGTGTTTCCCGGCGGCTCTCTTTGTGGCCCGGCCACAGCCTTCAGAAACCGGGTTTGCACAGAACGGGATTGCTGTTAAATGTGACCCCCCCGCCAGCCATATGCCATGCATCGGGTTTGTTGCCATGTGCTCTCAGGTCCCTCCCGTGGGTCTATGTGGTTTGTCCCGCTGTGGTCCTTGGACCATGGCCCTTCCCCTCTGCTCCCTCTGTGGGATTCCCATTATGGCACGAGCTCCCCAAGCCCACGCTCACTGGTGGCGCCGTCCCCTGGTGTGGCTCTGTTCCGTGTCTCCTGGTTCCCAGTCTTGGACAATCACCCCGTTTGGTTTTCTTCCCCTGCCGAGACAGCGGGCCACTGTTGGGACCATGCAGTCAACACAGGCTCAGTATATAGGAGCTGCCTCCCATGCCTAGAAGCACCCCGGCTGGAGCAGGGCCTCCGGCAGGCCATCTTTGCCGTTCTCATTCCTGTGGAGAGTTTCTTAGGCAATGTCCCAGTAGGATTGTGTGGGTCCGCCTTTCTGTCTGGGGGAACCCTTACCTCACAGATTCCCCACCACCGCCTTTGGAGTTGCTGGAGTTCAGCTCCAGCCCTGAGCTTCTGCGGTGACCGGTCAGCAGTACTTACTGCATCACCATTGAAAACTTAGCCGTGGGTGCCAGCACATGGTGTAGTGGTTGGACTCCCACATCCCTGACCGTGATTCCAGTCCCATACTGGCTGGCTTGAAACTCACACCGGGCACATTTGCGTGTGCGCCCCAAATCCTGAGAGAGCGTGGAGGAGAAGGGATTACAGCGTGGCCATCCCCTCTCGGGGGTCATTTTAGTCCCTCCAGAGAGTGCACGCGCCCTATAGCAAAAAATCTCTCTTAAAAAACAAACAAACAACAAACAAAAAACAGCTTGGCTGTGGACAGTCCGTATGGTTTTAGATTTACCGTGGACCAGGGAGGTGGATAGTCCGTATGGTTTTAGATTTACCGTGGACTGGGGAGGCGCTCCAGGAAACATGAGCCAGTGCAGCCATCCTGGAAAGGAGGGGACAGTTCTGTCATGTCCATGCATTTCCAGGCCCTGGCATGGCTGGTGGTGGCAGCTTTGTTTTGGAGAAATCTGTTCTTTGTTCAAACTAAGGAGCACGCTGGCAGGAACAGTGGGTTCAGCCAGGAGACCTGGAGTTGGGCTTCTTCCCAAGACAAGGCTTTGTGCAAATGGCAGAGGCGTCCTCTCCCCGGCCTGGCTTTCTTCCCTTTGAAACGGGATGAAAGTCTTTGTCAGTGTCGCCCTGGCCTGGAAGGTGCGAGGAGGCCTGAATCATCGCTGTTGCCTCTGAATAGCAGGCTATTTTAGGGACAGCCTGCAGCGCGCTTATTCCGTTTATTCCGCTCACCCTGGAAAAGGAAGCCTTTGGTGGGGATGCGGCTGGGGGCAGCTGCAGCTCTTCGCCTGGGGAGGAGTCGAGGACGTGGGCGCCCCTCCTGCCGCCCCGCATCCCCCAGCCCTGCATCGCCTCCCCTCCTCCTCGTGGGACAAGGTCATATGCAGCCCCCGGCACGATCTCTGAGCTCACGATGGCTACGCTCTGCCTCCGCATTCTCCCGACACCTGGCAGGTGTGCCGTTCCTTCGTGGCAGAGAGCTGCCCCACTTCAGGCCGGTCCCAGCGCCTGGGCTTGGCCTTGCAGGCAGGCAGGACTGGCTGAGGCCAGGAGGCGCCTTCCCTCCGGCCTTGAGTGTCCTTACAGTGCCATCCCCGGGGTGGGAGGGGGCTCCGCGAGCGGCACAGACGTGCTTCCTGAGCTGCTCCCCAGTGCTCCGGCCTTGAGTGTCCTTACAGTGGCCATCCCTGGGGTGGGAGGGGGCTCCGCGAGCAGCACAGACGTGCTTCCTGAGCTGCTCCCCAGTGTAGCAAGGGCTCAGGTCCGTGAGTTACCCCAGTCAGACAACGGAACGTGCCTGGCTCTACTGGCCGGTAACCATGCCACCCAACTTGCCTGGTTCTGCCTACGGCTTCTTGTTTTAAAGCTACCGTTTGAGTCTTACCCGGTGTTGGCCCCTGCACCAGTGCCTCGTGCCGGACGGGCATCTCTCCAGAGCCCAGGTGGTGAGATGGTTGCACAGCGGCACTGCTGAGGGTTACCTGGGGAGGCAGCTTTTCTGACAGCGTTTTTTCCTGCTACTCCTCCCTTTTTGCTGCCCTGTCTCATTTTGTGTCAGAACCTGCTGTGTGTGCGTGTGCGAGTGCGTGCGCGTGCGCATGCGCGTGTGTGCGTGAATCGGGTTGTTTGGCTGGTGCTTAACCCCGGGGGCCTGCACTGCTGCGGGAGGAGGCCGGGTGCAGGTCCTGACTTGGGTGTAAGTGTGGCCTCCAGCCCCTCACCCAGCTCCCTCCCCTGAGACCCAAGGTCATACCGTCTTGTGAGGGCTGCGGGGGAAACAAGGCCTGGGAACCCATGGGACACCTGGTGGGTGCTCGACAATGGCCGCCCGCCACTCTCCCTGGAGAGGACTCGCTCTGCACCCTCCATGTTGACTTTCCTTGTTCAAACCCCTTCTCCAGTTCCAGGGCTTATCCCTCCCTGGGCCCAGCCTAGTTCCCCCCACCCCAAGCCCAGGCTGCCTGTCCTGCAGGGACCTCCTGTTCCTGCTTGTTTCCAAGTGGCTTCTGCACCAGCCTGGGGGTACAGAGGTGTCCGTAGCAGGGCCTCTCATTCCAAGCCCCACCGTGGACCTGGTGGGAGCAGCCTGTCCTCTGGGCCGTGCCCTCGGTTAGCCAGGACCCGCTCATAGTCAGGGCTGGCAGACCGCCACCCCCTCTGCATCTCCAAGCGCAGGCTGTGGGCCGTGGAGGTGTTTCCGGAGCTCCACCAGTGTTTTCCAGTGTGTGGTTCGACTAACCAGGAGGTTCTTTTGCCAAGCATCTTTTTCCTGGTCAATTATTAAATTACACTGCAAGTAACATTGTCCACATTTCTGATTCATTTCCCAACACCATGAGAAAGGAATTGGGACAGTATTAGGTGACTCAGGGCCAGGGTCCTTCCCTGTGACGGCGCCATTCTGTTAGACTGTGGCTTCGTGCCCCGTCCGCGTGGCAGGCGGGGCCAGACGTGATGTGGCCGGTCACCTGCATCTCTGACTTGGCTGGACTTTAAACACGACCAAGAGGCTCTTGCTTTAATCCTGACCAGTGTGCATTGGCCGAACTGAAGCCCTGGGCATCCTTGGGGCTGAGTGTTCTGGACTTTCTGACATCAGGGAGAAGTCACGGGGGAGGGCTGGGCCTCCTTCCCTACAGGCTGCCACCGCCACCCCTGCTGCTCCCACTTGGGCCAGTGCTGCGTCCGAGACACGGCCAGGCTACCCCACGTACGGGCAGCTCCTGCCAGGCCTTCCAGAGGCCACGGGTGGCTGCTCTGGGCTGGGTGCTGGCGCAAGGGATCCGTCCTCTCCAGGCCTTGGTTCCCACATGTAAAATGGGGTCCCTGTCACTTCTCATCTGGGCTCTCTGAGCCCTGGAGGGCAGCCTTCGCGCCTTCACCGCCCCCCTGTGCCCGGCAGCACTGACGTGGGCAGCGGCTCTGCCCCTGCCCTGCCCAGCTCCCTGGGCTGGCCCTGGGCAGCAGGCCTGAGGCACAGTGGCCACCCGGACCTGACACCTCTCCCTCGGCAGGTCCACAACGTGTCCTTTGCCTTTGAGCTGATGCTGGACGGAGGGCTCAAGAAACCCAAGGCTCGCCCCGAAGGTAACACCCACATGGGTCTGGGGGGTGGGGGTGGGAGGCGTGGGCAGGGGGAACCAGGTCTGAGAGGGGCCGGGAAGGCC